ATCACACCATAATGTACCAATATCGGTGACCCTTTAAAATCTAATACGAATTTATTATATTATTAGAAGAAAAAAAAACTTTTAATAGTTGAGATTTAATCAAATACAAATATTAGAAATATCAATGATTAATAACCAGCCAGGTGACACCAGCTAAGTTGTTGGGTTCAACTTCACTAGTTTAACTAGTTGTGACGGTTGGTCAAACTGAGTGATAAAAAGTTTAAAATTCAATAAATAAACCACTAAATATAACAATTAAGTCCCTCCAACGCCTTGCAATTGTTGGCAAAAGTCGATTGTTGCTATCACATTTTTTTCGATTTTAGTCGATTCACATCACGAAATCAACTTCATTGCACTATTACACTCATGATACTTTCTCTTCAAAAGCTCTAATATTCTGATTTTCAATTATTTATCAATAATCATCATAATTTCTAAGGGTTTTTGATAAATAGTAAAATAGATAATCTAGCCCAATGAAAGCCTTGGGTTCTGATTAAATTGGTTCAATCGTTGGATTAGATCGGGTTTTTAAAACATTGAAAATTACTATTTATTGAAAAACTTGTTAAAAATATGAAAAATGATAGACGTGATAACATCATGATCACGATTAATTATAATTTTGTTTTAAAACAAAACAAATAGCATGAATTGGATATATATATATAATTATTTTTTTTTATTTTTTTTTTTTGATAACGGTAACATTGCTCTCAAAATATTGATAATAGATAATGAGCATACATATAGACAATTAGGACAACATATTCAGGAATAGAGATACCGTGAGATGAAATAATGAAGTGAAAGATTTGACATAAGCACTCCCAATCCCAAAAAGCTTGATCGAAAGGAAAGAGGGGAAGAGCGGCTTTACAATAAAGTCTATATAACCTACAACTGCCACCACCACTGTCAAATCAAATATCATTTCAATCTTTCCCTCTTCCCCAAACCTAAAGACCAAAGTTAGTGAATGGGCAACCTGACGGCACCACACCCCGCAACATCACCACCTTTCACATTTGAGTTCATCTTGGAGCCACCACACCAACCCTTTCTACCTCTTGTCACCCTGCCTCACCAATCCAAGAAATAAATTATTACTCATCAATTTCATCCATTATTCAAATTCTGTAATGAAAAAATTATATATGTCAGCTGTCAGGTGGGTCTGCTCTGATTTGGAGAGAGACACTTGAAGAAGACACCATATGGGAATTGGGCATGGGGTTCCTGTTTTCTATAATATCGTCGCCCTCTTTGATTTTAAAGACAAAGTGGGGGCCCTTTTAAAGTATTTTTGTGAAGCCTTTTCTTTTTACAGTTACTTTTTTTGTTTTTTTTTTTTACTTTCCTCTGTAATATTGAACATTTGCACGTGCAAACTATCAGAACGACAGAACCCAGAGGTCAACGTCAAATGTAAAGACGATAAAAATCACCATTCCTCGTGGTACAGTCTACTCTGTTTTTGTTTTTTTTTTTTTTTTTTTTACTCTTTTCTTTTTTCTCTGGATTTGGGACTATGCTCTGCTACTACAGAGTTGCAGATGAAAGCAATTTCGAAAAGGAGTATAATTTGTCAATATTTATTATATTTCTGCAATTTAAGGCTGTTTTGTAAATGGAAGTACTTATTTTTCACACATTTTATAGTATTTGACTTAAATGGGTAAAAAAATATATACTTTTAAGAACATACTGCGAAGTACTTTTTCATAAATACTTCCATTTTAAGCACTTCTTATGGAAGCACTTTTGCTATTTCGTATGTTGTGTCTTAACTCTTAAGTGCTTTTCGAGCGTATCAGAATTATTGTGACACTCTTATTTCTTCTTTTCCCGATGTTATAAAAACGTCAATAAGATTGTAAGGTATGATAAATTATCTAATACAATTAAAGAAAATAAATATCGAAAACCTTAAAAGGTTGGTTTGACGTTTAAAAAGGTTTGCTCCTTCATTCCAAAAAATAAGGCCGAAAAGTGTCAAATTTTTTATAATTTTTTTTTAATATATTACAAAAAACAAAAAAAAGAATATAATTTATTAGCTAGGCAATCCAATGAGCCTAAAAAAAAAAACCAAAAAGACCACCCAATTTATTATAACTTTTACATATATTTCCACCCAAAGTTTGACGAAATAGCAAGTTTATACCTCTAGTTTTATATATTTAATTTACACCCCTAAATTAACGCATTAAATTTCTTTTGACAATGAAAGGCTAAAATGGTCATTTACATGTCTCAAATTACTCACCCCTAATTCAATCCGAAAATTTAACATTCACATAAATCATCTCTACCTTCTTCCATCGCCGATTGTTTGGAGTTGATTTCGGTTGATTTTTTTCACCAATTCGATTGGAACCATCACTTTATCGTTTTCTAAGTGTTTTTTCAACCTGATAGCCCTTGATTTAGTCATTTTTTACGAACTTGCAACCAGCTCCACCACGTGCGACAGCCATTTTCGGCATTTTCAACATATACTTGGCATCATTGGCCTTCCCCAACACCACATCTTCCCCCCTTTGCCTTCTGACCAAAACCCCTATCATACCTATCCGTTTACTTGCCAAATCGTCGGCCACTGATACTTTAGGCCGTGACTTCTCAAGTTTTTTGGTCAATCCTGGCATTGGAAATCACCCATTTCACCATCCATCGTCCAGCATCTGCTCTCCAAAAACCCCCCACCAACCTAACCCGTTAGCCGTTGGTCGTCATCCACCTCTCTAGTGATTTTGCATCTCAAAAGGCAAGAAAAAAAAATTTGAAATAATTTTTTTTAAATATGCTTATATTATTAGAAGGCCCCCACAGTAACTTTTGTCTAGGGTCACAAATGTTCTTAAGACGACCCTGAGGTTAACTGGACACATTGTGACTTACTTGATCATTTGGACTTTAAGGTATTCAATGAATTTTAAAGATTAGTTGAAGTATGCATAAACTGGGCCAGACACTCTGCTTACCCCAAAAAAAACCTCAGGGACTTTTGTTATTCTTTAAACCTAAGGGAGGTTAGAGATAGTATTTATTTGTGTGACTAGGATTGAGATAATGATGGTTTTAACTAAAATATACATAAAAAAAATTGTACTTCATATTATGGTTGACAAATGTATATCGTATCTGTGTATCAAAAACCTAATTTTTTGAATCATGTATCGCGTTGTATCGTACGATATGTTTTATAAAATTAATAATAAATAATAACATTTTCTTAAATTAGTATCATCCCCAAGATTAATTAAAAAATTTGTGATATTATTGGCTTTAAATTATGGTATTAGATAATCAAAAATAATCATAAAATTATGAATTATATCATTTCCTCTCAACCATTAATATAATTTCTAAGATCATTTTAATAATATATCTCCACTTATGTTATTATTATCATGCAAAATGGGCAACAGATCTTTCTTTCACTTTCCCATGCAAAATGGGTAAATTTGAGCGGGTTTTAGTGAATCGAATTGGTGGGACCTGGATCCAACATGATCTATTTCAGTCCGAATCAAAAAAAATTTGGGCTGAAATTAATAAAGGCGAATCGATGTGTATCAATATTTTTTAGAATACGTACCGATACATGTGGTATCTAGTATACATATTAACGTATCGAAATGTTATGATACACTCTTCTGATATATTCATTGACGCCCGTATCGAATCGTCTAATATGATATTTAGGATCGTAGGATACTAATAGCATGTTTCATATTTTGTAATTTAAGTAATTAATATAACGTCACACATTGTGCAAACATTTAATTACAAAATCAGTGTCGTATATAATTTTGGTTGAAAAAATTGTGTATGTGTTGTGTATCGGGCATATAAAGTGATTTTCATTATTAAAATAAAATATAAAAAGAAAAAGAAAAGAGAAAGAGAAAGGAAAGTAGTATATGATTCGACAATATTATCGAAATGGTAAGTTTTTCGTACTTATATGATATGGGAAATGGAATCTCAATAATCAAGAAGCAACACTACAAACAACAGCTATCTCGTGCTTCAAAAAACAACAATAATGTAGGTGTGTTGTGGGGTCTTTCTAGTTTTTTTTATTCTACACCCAATTTTATTCCAGAAAATATTTATTTAAAAGAAATATCAATTATTAATTTCAAACTACATTCGAAATCAAATTGGTACCCAGAAAGAACATTCCACATGCCAATATAAGATTCCTTTTGCCCCTGCAGCATGGTTTTGCAGTTACATTACACCCCTTTTGTGCCAAGTTATTACACAAAACGAGACCATCGCTTGGAAATTTACTACATCTAATCACAAGACATTAGTTTAATTAACTTCATTAATCTAATCACAAAACAAAGACAAAACTAATAGATTCCTTAATCCCGACATCTATCACGTCCCCACATTGCGTTGTGTAATTTCATTGAATCAGTGAGGGTAACCTTGGAAACTAGAAATGGATACATACAATATATACGGAGAGAAAAAAGCAGGATCCGTATACAAATATATTCACTGCTTGATGTCGTATCTCCAACAGCAAAAGAAGAATGGATCATATAATTAAACTGGCGAAGGAAAAATCATCGAATAATATCCCAGACAATCCAGTTGCATATACACATGAAATGAAAGCAAACAAAAACAAGTGTCCTTCGTTTCTGCTTTCGGTTCCTCAGTCGTTTCTATTCACATGCACCATTGCCATTGTTGAAGACAAACAACCCATTAGAGCCATTTCCTATCTGCAACTGCGACTCTCCACTGTTCATTACTTACTAGAATTAGACTATGGGAGGAAAGACAGAGAGGAAAAAATAAGGCATTGATAATCAATGCTTGTACCAGTACTACATAAATTAACCAACCTGAGCCTGAAACATTAAGATTACAACTTTGGGTACTCTTATAGCAGAATCTGTGTACGTGCTCCATGAATATATATATATATATATCCCTGACCTTTTGCTTAAAAGTATAGAGCTATTACTAGAGTGTGAGTAGAATTTAACAGAGCCAGAGATGGGAGAAAAGAGAAAGAACCAGGAAAAAAAAATATATATATAAATATAAAACAAGTTATAATAACTTTGTGTTTTTAATAGAAAGGGCACATCTTAGTTACAGCCTTTTTGTTCCAATCTGGCAATCTGTCTCTTAATTAACAAACTTGCGTTACTGCAAGTAAAAAAGAAAGAAAAAAGAGAGAGAAAGACATTGGAGTAGAGAGAGATCCCTCTTGGTAATCTAACTTTCAAGTGACTTACATTCCCAACGTTCCCTGTGTCCTCACAGAGAAGGCAAAATCATCGTCAATTCGTCATAATAATACTCTAATATTATAAACATGGAAAGAACAACCCATTCATGCAAGTCACAATTAAAAGAGTTAAATAACATTAATACTATATATTTATGAAAAGAAGTCTGTGTTTTTAATTATGTCTTGTCTTTTAGGGCATGAAGAGCTTGTTGCCACACTTGCAACGCCAAGCTTCAGGGTAGTACTCTAATGGCATACTCATACCAGGCTGAATAGGCACGTGAACCGGTTTACAAGGAGAACAATTTCCACACTTGGATCTACACGTGGGTGGTGAAGAACCTGGACCACTGAGTCGCTTCTGCGCCTGCACACCTCCCTCCAACGACTCTGAGTCTGAACCTCTCTCCAGTAACCCACAACCTGCAGATGAATGAAACGTAACACCAAGCCTCTAATGACAAGCATTAATGTTGTGTGAGTGTGATTGTGATTGTAAAGTGTGAAGAGAAGCTCACCCAGTGGAGTTAGTAAAAAGAAGAGAAATGTGAAGGCAGTGAGAGATGACAATAGACCGCGCTGGTGGTTGCGGTGGTGGCGCCGCATGGCCTGAGATGAAAGTGTAATGTCTTAACTCTTAAGTTGCAGAGTGTGGAGAGGATTGATTTTGGTGTGATGGTAAAAAAAAAGAAAAAAAAGAGTGAAGGAAGCAACAAAGAGAAGGAAAAAGATTGAAAGAGAGAAGAGAGGTGAAGTGTGTTTTGATATAATTGTTGAAAGTAGAAAAGTATTAGCGTGTGAGAGAGTCTAAGTCAAAGAGACATCAGACATGTACACAAGATTAGACTATTAGAGAGAGGGTTTTTGTTTTATTGTTTGGCTAAAGGTTGGGGTGGGGTCTTGGCGTCTTGCTGGAGAGGGCTTCATGATTGTGATCGCTTCAATTTCAGTCCTTTATTATTGCTCTTATTTACCGTTTACCATTCTTTTTTTTTTTTTTTTTTTTACCGGAAATATTGAGATTAATTTACACGTAATTTAATTAATTTTCCAGGTTTTTGAAATTGACATCAAATAAATTTATCGCTGTTATGCTTGAAACAGTTGTGCTGATATCAAGCTTTGTTAGGTAGGTTTTGCAGCCGTTCAGACGCAGTCACATTGTATGCTGACATAAGCAGCATGCTCCTACTAGTATAGTGGGTATGCACCAAAGTGGCGTAAAACTGAAAACGTTCTACGTATCAAATCCTTGCATAAGTCGAGGAAACCACTTAACCAGGTGAGCAACGGGACGCAGAAGGATTTGCATGGTAATCTAACCTACTTACAGATTTAGTAATCATTACCTCAATTCATCCAACTATGAATAGGGGGCTCCTCTCTCGTTTGTGAGATTAGCTAATTTTTCTCTAAAATAGCATATACTCTCTCTCTCGTGTATTCACTTGTGTTCTCTAAGTTATAAATCAGTTCGCTAAACGCGATCTGATCTCATATATTAATACAATACCAGTGGACGTAGGATTTGCTTATTTAAGCATTCGAACCACTTTAAACATTGTTCTTCTTCTCTTAATCAATTCAATACCCCCATATACACGTGTGTCTTTTGAATCAACTCAACATTTTTCACGTATGATTAGTTGGTGTCAAAATCAAACATCAATAATAGTGATTATCTTTATTAACAATCAAGATAAATAACTTCTTAAATAATACTCCTAAAAGTATGGACCGTCCTCTCATTTTTTTACGCTTAAATTCTTTTTCTTTGTATTGTGATTTATGTCCCATGTCCGTGACTGTGACTCTGATTTTATCCCATGTTACGTGTGTTTGGTCCCCTATAAGGAAATGTATAAAGGTTAACCCAAAAGTCAAACTTTTTTATCTTTGACTCTGAAGACTGAAATCCTGTGCCTGCTGGATTCAAATCGAAATTGATTTTATGGGTGACTTCTTATAATTCGGCGATGTGATCAAATCCGATGGTCGACTCTTTCACATCATATCATCTCAAATTCTCATTTCCATCTTTCACTAGTTCATGTCACACGCTTCTGCTTGTAACATGATTCATATTATATGATTTTCTCCTCAAATTCAAACATCCTTTAAATCAACACCTGTAAATACTTCCTATTATATCAATTTATTTATTCAAATATAAATTTCCTAAGACTGAAAAATTGAAGAGTTGTGGTTGGGGTGGCAAAGATGTAAAATAGTGAAAAGAGAGGGGTGTTGAGGTGGAAGGCAACAGCTGCCGTGTTGAGAGAATGGAGGTTATGTCTTCTACGGGGCGAACATCTGATCGAGCCCTAGCACCAAGCCCACCATTATTCAATACAGTAAAGGACTTTTTCCCGCCCAAGTTTGTCTTATCGACACTTTTCCACCCAAAATATTGCAAAATATCATTTTCCCAAAATACACTTCGTTTTCTCAATTAGGGTTTGACGAGTTATCAGGAGTCAAGATAAGAGAGTTTGCATAGAGTGGATGCTAATGGACTGAATGATGGTGATCAATTGAATATTCATCGTTGGAATCAATTAAAAATCAACTAAGAACAAAAAACTTTAATTTTGTGATAATCGATAATCGAAAAGAAATTAATTGTCAGAGTGAGAGAGATTTTGTAAAGAAAAAATTGGAGGTTCAAATGATGATAACAGAGAGAATTTTTGTCATCAGAATCAGTTTTGGGTAGTAATAGAATATTAACTTTGAACAAGAAAATAGTATTTTGAAACTTTTTAAATGGAAAGTGTCATTAAGAGTTAAGACAAACCTTGGTTGGGAAAAAGTTGGTTTACTCAATTATTATTTAATACAAGAGAAATGCTAGATCTTTGTATAAAGAGTCTTTGTATAAAGTGATGTAACAGCTACCATACCACTCATTTGTAAAAATAAAGAAAATATTGAGTTTCAAAGAGTCTTTGTATAAAGTGATGTGACAACTATCATACCACTCGTTTTATGAAAATAAAGAAAAGATTGATGTGAAACTAATGGTATAACAGCTATCATATCACTTTGTACAACGACGATTTGTACTCTGGCATTTTTACTTAATACAATCCCTCTTAATTTCACCGGACCCACATTTTCCATACAAACAACTACTACAAAACGTTCCTTCTTCACTTTTTTGTTTCATTTTAATTCCGTTAATCAAATGAAATTTTATTTTTTCTTGCTCAATTAAGTGTTCATGTTGAGGTTAAAAATGTAAGGGCAAAAGGACAGATCGTAAGGTCAGTAAATTAAATGAGGCTTCATGACTTTTCCTTTTTTTTCTTTTTTGGTGTTAAGCGCAGGACCAATCCTGAAAGTGGGGTTTGGTAGCATTTAAGGCAAAGTGACTAGGGCAGGAATTGAGGTCAGCTCCTATAAGAAGGTAGTTGGCGTAACTCGTACGTTCCATATGGCAACCAACAACGCCATGAAAGAGAAAGACTTATCATATCCAGGAAAATAAATATCTTACTTAACTTCACTGATTCTAACACTGTTTTTCTCTGTACACACTGCCAACTTTGGCTTCTTTTATATGTGCTCATTCGGCATTCCTCTTTAATGCTTTTTCTTCAAAAAATACTGGAGTAAAACAAACAGTAAACATACAGTAATCACGTATCTGAAGCCTAACCATAGGAGACTGTTTATAATAACTGGGCCTAATGTTGGATTGAAATAAGTCCAGAAGGCCAGGCCATGAGGCTTAGAAGTGACCCCTTTAAGGCCCTTTGATTCGAACAGTGGGGGATACTAGAAGACAACTAGGGCAGAATCAAGAAGCAACCATTGCTTTTAGGTCATCGGGTTCGGAAACTAGAAAGGGACATTTCAATTTTAGGGCACCTTCAATGTTACTGCTTCACAAGGTAATGGAAATATACAGATTCTTTTTTTTTTTTTTTTTTTGGACTGAGTTTCAGCTCTCAAATGTTTTGGTTTCTACGTCGTTTGGGCCTGGCGACAATGGGATAGCCGACCTTGGCGTTGTTTGGTATGATTGGACCCGGATGATACGTTAGCATCGTATTAATAATGCGAAAGTAATTACTGTGATATTGACTCATCATTAATTACGTCACTTAAGATAATTTTATATATGTAGTATTTTTGTTATCAATTATGTTACACAATACACAATCTAACTATATTTTAAAATTATTATTTCTCCTGATATATATTTTTATATGGTATTGATTTGTAAATAAGACGTTAATGTAACAATCAATTTATTAATAGTACATGAAATATATATATATATAATTTTGAAGCCCTTATCCCATCCCACCCAGAAAGGCTGCGCAATGGAAGAGACTCGAGCGGTCGAACCTAAGACATTACCAAGGCTAAATGAACTCCTTTCTATTAGACAAATTTTAGGAGTAAATGAAGCCTTATTTGAAGTAATAAATTTTAGATGAATAATACTACATCAATAACCCTCTTGCACAAACTTTCTTACAACCTTGACGTGGCAGTTCGTAATTAGTCAGTTCACAACGAGTCTCACATGTAAGGGTGTTCAAAAGAACCGGTTGGAACCAAAACCGGTGGGTACCCGAGGTTTGGTTTCGGTTGCTACTTGGAACCGACTGTCTACGGGTTGGTTCTGGTTCCAAATTTTTGGAACCGTTATTGTGCGGTTTCAGTTCTGGTTCTTATAGTTAGGAACCGGAACCGAGACTAATATAAAATAAAAATAAGATTAGGGGGTTAATAAAAACTTTTGTAGAAAAAGTAACGTGAATACATTTATATTTATATTTCATAACATTTAAAGTAAGTTGGTTTGACTTTTGAGAATCTACCTTTACAAAGTAATGGAGTTTGTAATTTTGAATTTTGAATTTTGAATTTTGAATTTTGAATTTTGAATTTTGAATTTTGAATTTTGAATTTATAATTTGTAATTTTATTTTTGTTAACAAGTGCCAGTTGGGAGGGTATTTGTAAGTTTTTAAGGGTTTTTTTGCCATTTAAAAACTTTTTGGGGGTCATGTAATTTTACAAGGTACCCAGATCTGGAACCGTTGTTACAGGTTTCGGTTCTGGGTACCTAGGAACCAGAACCGTCGGTTCCGGTTCTGGTTCCAAATTTCAAGGAACCGTCAATTCTGGTTCCTTCAAAACATACAGGGTACCTGGAACCGAACACCCCTAGCCACATGGGTCCTGCATGAGTCCCATTGATTAATTGCGAGCTTACCAATTGTGAGTTGTCACGTCAGGATTGTGAGAGAAAATTTATGAGAGAGGGTTGTTGGTATAATTTTACTCATTTTAGATCTGGTTAATGATGGTAAAATTACTATTGTATGTGGAAACTTGGCCAAATTTCACAAAGAATTTAATTACAGTCAATTTGTACTTGACAAAATATATAAGAATCAATGTCTTTGCATGAGAACTGAAGGGGTTGGTGGCGGTCAAAGAGGTTTGCTCTATTTCTTGAGTTCATGGATCAAAACCTTGGATCCAACTATCATAATAATATTAGGACTTATTTAGTCTTTTGGGTTTGTAGGGTATTCAATAAACTACAAAGATTAGTAGAATGCATATAAACGGACTGAGAACACTCTAGTTACAAACAAAAAAAAAAAATGTCTTTTCATGAGTAAAGTTTGTAGGTGTATACCTTAAAACGAACTGGTATGGTGGATTTTCCTAATATCTTAGTTTGAAATATATATATAGTCCAAACTAAGGGTCAATTGCTATAGAAATCATGGTTATTAGTATCCTACGATACGTGATACGTATCCTATAATACGATTCGATATGAGTCGCCAACGATACGTATCAGAGAGTGTATCCTAAACCTGTTGATACGTTGATATGTATCCTACGATCGATACGTATCCGTTTATATCCTTAAAAATATTGATATGATTTTATTTATTTAGACCAAAGTCCAAAATTTTTTTCAAGTCGAATCCGGGTCATCCAACCCGATTCACTAAAACCTGCTCAAATTTACCCATTTTGCATAGAGAAAGTAAAAAGGAAGATGTGTTGCCCATTTTTCATGATAATAATAACACAAGTAGAGTTATAAATATTAACATTGATCTTGGAAATGATATATATGATCGAGAGGAAATGATATAGATTCTTAATTTTGTAATTAATTTTGATTATGTAATATCATAATTTAAAACCAATAATATTATAAAATATGTTAATTAATCACGGGGATCATATTAATTTTTAGAAAAAAAATTATTATTTTATTAATTTTTTTTGAAAAAAGTGTATCCTGTAATACGATTAGATACACGATTCAAAAAATTAGGTTTTGATACATGATACCAATGATTTAATAACCATGACAGAAATAGATTCATAAATATGTAATTATAAATTATAAATGAAAAATATTTCAAATTCTGTGCGACAAATAAAGTGATTTATTGATTTTTATTATCATGCAGTTTTAAATAAAAAGAAATAAATTTTAAAATAATAATAGTGACCTATATTTACTTTTGTGTGTAAAATTATAAAATATCCGTAAAAAAGGGTATGAAAAGCATCAAGTCAAGTTATAACTCGTGTAACCTAAATTTCTGCTAAATGAGATTACAGGAAATTCCTAATCTAAAAGCCAATGGTGAGAGATATTTTCAAACCCCACTACCAACCACAACCTCAGGCTATTTAAATGGCACGAAAAGCAATTAAAAAAAATAATTAAGTCCACTATGGTCCGATAATAATAATTACTTGTCTAAGACAACACAGACAGGTTATTACGTGGCAGCCTAGGGTGCACCGCAGCTCCTAAAAGGCTCCCCAAAGAAAGCAAGGCACAGACGCCGCGGCCACTCTCTCTCTCACCACACACACTCACTCACTCATTCACTCTTCCTCTTCTCATTTTAAACCTTATAATCCTCTGATAATTACCATACTGTCGAAATCACTGCCACTGACCCTTAACGGACCAATTTGTCGACGGAATCTGACGGCATGGACGGCGGTATGACGTCATGCCGGTCAATTCTTGACAAACCCTACAGTCAACTCACCGAGGAAGACATTTCACAGCTCACCCGTGAAGATTGCCGCAAATTTCTCAAAGAAAAAGGTTTTAATTCTTCTTTCTTTCTTTCTTTTCTTTTTTTTTCTTCTTTCCATTTTTGCCCTTTTTACTTTCTCCTTATTTTCCGGTACCTGAGCTGAAACCTTAACCCATTAAATAATGTTTCGACACGTGGAGCAACAGGAATGCGCAGACCTTCTTGGAACAAATCTCAAGCGATCCAGCAAGTGATTTCCCTCAAAGCTTTGCTCGAAAATGGCGATGATTCCGGTGCCGGCTCCGGGGCTTTAAGGAAAGTCTTAGTCTCGCAGCCTGAAAATGCGCGGCGCGTGAGTAGACTCTGGCCTTCCTCTGTACTTTTGTTTCATGAATTATATGTTTGTTGTTCAAATAATTAATGTTGTATTTGTAGGCAACTTCCAATTTAGCCGATTCGGTGAAGGAACAGAGCACTCCGGTCTTGGGAGACGAAAACAGTGCGTATAGGCGGAAGGATCCTCCCAAATGTGCTGCTAACACTGATAACAAGTCATCTCCTTCCAGGTCTATTTCGTTACTCCTTTGCTTTCCTCCCACCCGCTCCCTTTTTTTGACCTTTTTTAAAATTTAAAAAGAAAAAATGGAACAAGTTAGTGAAGTAGTAATTTTCATTGTGATAATTGAGCCTGTTTACGATTAGCAAGTTTGAAAATTCAGTTTGTTGTAATTGATGATGCTGCATAACATTTGAGTTTAGATTAAATGTTACGAGATTTCATGTATGATTTAATTTAGTGGAAGTATTGTAACTGTGACAGCAGAAATCCGGGTGAAGCAAATGGGTTGGCTGGACAAATGACGATTTTCTATTGTGGCAAGGTGAATGTGTATGATGGAGTGCCAACTGATAAGGTAATGAAGCTTCTTTCCGTGGATTCCTGAAGATATAACAATGCTAGCATGTTGGCTTCCAATGCATCCAAATATGGGTTTGCAGGCACGGGCAATTATGCACCTGGCAGCAACTCCGATTGATTTTCCTCAAGATGGTCCATTTAGTGGAGTTGCGTCGTTTAGGTCCATTCCATGCCATTTACAGGCGGCTAATGACAGACATGGAATTTTTCCCCCTGCTATGATCTCTCATCCCATGCAAGCAGGTAGGATTTGGCATAGACAGGTCCACTGTCTTTTTGTGATCTATAGATTTCATTGACTTGAATTGTCTATGATGTTTGAACACCATGCTGAGGCTGTATTTTAGTGGATTAAATAGTACCCTGGAAATATGTCTAGACTGCTCCATCTTTTCATCCTATAGCAGGACATTTCTTTTTGGAAAACACATCTTTCAATCGTTGAAATTGAATGAAAAGACATTATTAATATTTGTTGGTATTCTATTTCCATAACAACAACGGGTTGTACCTTCTATGTTTTGCATATGTTGCTACCATGCACCACTTTAATGGAAGCTGCTGAACAAAATAAGAGCACTAACAATTATTTGGATTGCATTCCTGAACCTTCCTTTCTAAGTGTCACATGCAGTCTAAATCTTAAGTATATGCAGTCTAAATCTTAAGTATAATGTCCGTGTGTAGTAACCGTTTTTGCTGGATTGCACAAGAGTGAACTTTTTAAGTTTCTTACATCAAGATAGTTCCAATGATATTGCTAAATTTACTATACAAGCATTTTATTTGAATAGTTAACTAATTGATAATTATGATTGACTTTCACAGAGAAGATGGCAGAATATCCTCAGGAATATAGAGAGAAAGGGAATGTTACTCGCGACTCTGGTAATATTATTTTGTTTGCTAAATTTTAGAATTTGCAACTTGCATAATACTGTCTCAGCTGTCTTTTGGAGCGTGATGACTACATATGCTAGTTACTTAACTGCAAAACTATTATTATCATGGTGACCTTGAGGTCGCCAAAAATTCAACCTTTAATATTCTTTCTGTGGTCAAATACTGAGATGCATATGAATTTTCAGTCATTAAACATATGTTCTACTCTACACCCCTGCCAATAGGAAGAGCTACATACTTTTTGATGGCCTAAACTGGTCTCCTCACCACATGCCCAGTGCTTGCACGCCACTCATGGGTATGACACCACAGGCTCAGGGAGAGACTGTTTGATTCTCAACACGGATAGAAACTAATCTTACTAATATCAAACTAGGCACTCTTACAGAGTATTTTGAAAATGCTATGCTTTGATAGAAATAAAGTGAAATAAAACAATAATATCATTTGGTGATTCACCTCAGTCGTTCATCTGGAAAATAAATTTTTCTCTTAGCAGAAGCCAAGTGTTATTTGCTTGAGAACTATAATTTCCAAGTTTATTTGTTCTCAGTTCTATTTTATCTCGTAGAACTTACATACTTCATTGCCAAATGCCATCACACCATCTGTACTATTGAAATACGACTCCGCTGCCGTCACCCTTTCACCTCTGTTGCAAATATCAAACACAAGTGATATAGCTTCATGCTGTACAAAATCACACTTCTACCTTTAGTTTAGTGCTTATCATCTTCAAAACTTCCTCCTTTTCTCCAATCACCATTTTCCCCGCTAGTCAGCACCTTTTCCTTCCTGTCCTGCAGTCAGTGCATGCATCTTTCCTGCTTTTTGGTAAAACAACTCTTTTAGCAATGTAGTTTTGTAACACAATTTTCTTTTGTCTGTGCTGTACAAAAGCATGCCTAAACATGATTATTTTATTTACCAAACCTTTTTGAGAAGCTTATCCAAATAGTGACATGACAAAACAACCTGGGCCATGGGATGGTTACTATCATACATGGGGAGGCCTAGGCATTTTAATAAGTTTTCCTACCAGACAATATATGAGAATTATTAACCATTATTATGTCCTTTTTGACATTTAGCCTTTCTTAAGATGTAGATGGTCAGATGAACCGAAAAGTTTCATTGCAGAGGTATCTCGAAAAGCGGAAAGACAGGTGCCTACAGTAACTATCATATAATTCGCTGGATAGTGCTGATAACCTTAAGTTTCGTGTTCCTATATTAATGATCTTGATTTTTATTTTTTGCTCATATTCCTTTCAGGGGAAGATTTTTCAAAGGCAAGAAAAATGCCGGACCAACTCCTTCCAATTTGGAGATGTATTTGAACCATCAAGTGAGGACACAGGCCTCAAATGGACAACCAAGCCATAGCAATACAAGTTCTCCTCCCCAGCCTGGATTGCCAAATAATTTATCTAGCTCAGCTGACAACCAGGCTAAAGTTGCCACTCGTTCTGTTGATCTCAACAATGAAGGTAGTCTGGAAAAATTCTTTGCTTGGTTGCTTATGACTTAGATTTGCTCAACTTGATGTGATTTACAATTTTAATGCTTACTGATCTACTGATAATTGCATAGGATAAATGGATGTTGGTCTCCTTTGATTACTGTTAGCCCTTTGAACGTAGTGATATTTTCCTTATTTATAAAGGTATCCTATTGTGTGCTTAATTGGCTGTTTGGAGTGCCATAGTATCAATGAGCTGGATTCAGCATATTTATCTCTAAATCAATTCCAACGTATTGATTGTGGATGTTGTTTATAGTTGATAAAAGCTTATACTTATATTTTCTTTTATGGCTGCTCTACAGATGTTTAAGAATGTGCAATTGAAGATGCTTTATAGGTCAGGTGAATCCGGGAATGAGTAAATACCCATTCTTCACGGGCAATCACAATGCTAACCCTAAAAGAAAGGGAAAGCTAGAAAATTATATTAAAATCATTCAACACGCATTCCTGTTTCCATGATTTAGGCTGGTATGGTATGAATTGAGTTTTTACTAGTTGCTGGAGATTTGTGAGGAAATCATGATTTTCTAATGGTAATAGTTTGAGCACTAATCTGATCAATTTTGTAACTTATGAAGTGTAGCGCCATCCTCGGGAATTTCTTGTTTCTGATGTTTAAAGGTCTCTCATCTGAGAAATGAAAGCTAGATGTAGCCTTATTCTATGGATAATTATGTATGTAAATGTTGGCCAGCTTTGGCCATTCCAATAGCCCTCTATGCAAGTTAATCAGTTGAAGTCTTTTTATTTGACTCAAGCTATCTTAGTGATCTCTAAAATTTTGTATAAGCTTGTGTTTCGAGACTCATCTACTATTGTATGTTCAATTGCCAGTAATGGAATAATATACAAAAAATTTAATACAATAACCAAAACGATTGAGAATTCAAATCCTATAGCCTATAACAATTCTTGGGTTGTACTGAAACAGTAAAAAAAATTATCTGGTAAAATATTTACTTTCATCTAATCAGTAATATATGATCCGGGCCCTGGATGCTTTTATAATCGTTATAGATTTCAACTGTCGTAGATACGTAGCATAGCTTAACTCTGTAATGCAAATATGTTGAGGTGTGATTCATCTTGTTATGAGGTAAATTCATGAAAGAATGAATTTGCGCCGCTGTGTCCCATGACTATGCAAATGGAGCATGAATTCTTGCCATGTGTCCCACGACTATGCCATTGGCCAAGTTGCATGTCACACTATGAAATGATTATTTTATTTATAAGTCAACCATAAGTTGTTTCAATAGTAAAGTTTATGATATAGTAAAGTTTATGATTGAGATGTCGACTACATTGTGTGTTATCTTATAAGAGAATTACTTCGCTATTAAGGCTCCGAGAATGGCGGTATGTTAGGCCACAATGTCATATGATAAGAGGGTTATTTCATGAGCAAGTTCATCAATATAACAGTAGAAATAAGGGTCTCTCACCCCAAAGAAATTATCCTTGAATTTTAATAGCAAAAAAGTAATTGCCTCATTTGAGAGCAAACAACATTTGTATACACACAAAAGTATGCAAGAAAAACAATAAGATAATAATAGATTTAGGATTTGCCCTTTGCATCCAAATCAATTTGAAAATCCCTTTTGTCTACTCTTTACTAAACTTGGCAAAAGAGGGCCCAGACCCGCAGGTAAACGGGTACCCATACCTAACGGACGGGTATGGGTATCCCTCTAAAATACCCATTTCAAAGCTACCTGTACTCGGCCCGCCCGTGAAATTTGTAGGTGGGTCGGGTAATACCCGCGGGTACCCGTAATTTATTTTTTAAAAAAAAAAATGAATTTAAAATACAATTTATTAACAAACCTTAAAGTCTAAACGCAACTCAGTCAGACTACAACTTTGTTTTCAAAACTGGACCGGGACCTGGTAGCTTCTCCGGTCCGGTTCAGGTCTTAGGGGGTTTTTATAATATTTCAAAATTATAAGGGTTAATTTGTTATTTTATAGGGGTGTTTTGGATATATGTCAAAAGTTTGTGATTATTTGGTAATTTTTGGGGTATTTTTGAAATAAATAAAAATTTTAGGGACTAATTTGAACTTTTAAGAGGAATTTTTGTAATATATTAAAATTTGAGGGATTAATATGTAATTTTTTAAAAATAAAATTGTCGCTGATGTCATCGATCCAACCGATCGGTCCAACTGGTTGGATTGGTTGACCCATGACCCGGGCAGCAAAACGGGTTGCCCTTCGATCCGGGTTTTAAAACAATGGACTACACACTCAACTCTCTCATGCAGCACACCACTCACAGCTCACTCACGCAGCCACGGTCACAACTCACTCTCGTCGACGAACAACAACTCCCAAACCCAGGCCGCCATCGACGAAACAGCAGCAGCTACAACTCTCCTCTCACTGTCATTCTACTTCGACGCGATTCTCAGCTTAATCTCAACTCTCTCACGCTCACTCATGCCGACGAACGGCATCTCCCAAACCCAGGCCGTCGTCAACGAAACAGCAGCAGCTGCAGTTCTCCTCTCACTATCATTCTGCTTCGACGCGACTCTCACCTCAGTCTCAACTCTCTCGCGCTCACTCATGCCAACGAACGACAGCTCCCAAACCCAGGTTGTCACTGACGAAACAGCAGCAGTAGCACTCTCATTCTACTTCGACGCGACTCTCAGTCAGTCTGAACTCTCTCACCCTATCACGCCGACGAACGGCAACTCCCAAACCTAGGTCGACAACGAAACAACTTTTGCTCTCCTCTCACTCTCATTCTCTCTCACTCCGACATCGCCTAACTCTCAACAGCATTAGTCACTCTCAAAGGTAAACGCTTTCACCAAGTTGGCAAACGCTTTGGGCAAATAAAACAATATATTTAACTACCATTATTTGTACTGTGAGCATTGAGTTTTGATGCATTATTTGCATTGTGAGCATTATATGCGGGTGACCCGCAGGTCAACATGTACCTGCACGGGTGGTTATGGGTCATACATATATCGACCTATGGACTCTTATCTGTTTTACTTGTGACTCGTGTCTACCCGGCCTGCCGTTTGCCAGGTCTACTCTCTACTCATTGATTTGCATTATTATTATTAATTCCCATATTGGTTTTCCAAAGGTCTGCGTACTTCTCATTGGAGCGAAAACTAGCAACATCACATCTTACACTAGTTCAGAAGTTTTTATGTGTCACATTATTTTATTAGAAAAAAAAATCGTAGCAAAGTACAAGGATGTGGTGGGCGACAAAAGTGATATTTATTTCACAACAAATGCAAACACCACAAATAAACAAGCGGAGATGGAGCCGTACACGTGGCAAATAGTAGCAACAGAAATAAACACCTTAAAACGGAATACTCGAGAAGGGAAGGTGTGAATCGTGATTACCATCCAACAATGTTTTTATTTTGAGTTGAAACAGACAGAGTTACCAATGGCTCTGGAGGTGAGTTGGCTCTTCTACTTGGTCGTTTTAACCGAGACTCGGATAATGAATTACGTTTCTAACCTCAATTCTGATTTGAGTTTGATCAGGCATGGTTCATGGATGAGAGTCATGAAGATCAACAACTCCCTCATCACCGTAACCCCAAACAGTTCGTGTCATTGGACCACTTGGCAGGCATTTTTTCTCTCTTGTTATCGCTTATTTATTTATTTATGTTTAATTAATTGTTACAGCATTAACAATTGAGGAATTTGCAGAATTAGGAGTGCTATACTGGCGCTTGAATCCAGATGATTACGAGAACGATGAGGAATTGCAGAAGATCAGAGAAGCTAGAGGATACAATTACATGGTACATGCTTATTTATTTATTTATTTTTTTCGTTTATTATGTTCCATTTACTAATTATAATGTTAACAATTAAATTAATCTAGTTCAGACTCAGGAAATTAAGCTAAATATTGAGCTTTAGATAAATTATTAAAATGCAAATACTCAGTAAATGAATATTTTTATCATGTGTTTTTGAAGCTATTGAGTTGAATTTTTCTATGTTCTAGCTGCCTAAACTGGCTTCAAAATCAATATTTGTTTCCTCATACTTTTTATTAATTGTGTTTTATAAGTTTAAATAAATAATATTTTTTATTATACCCATGCTTAACCCAATTTGATGTTCCACGGTGGTGAATTATAACTAGCTGAAAATTTACCAGTTATTTAAAGAATATATTTCCAGTTTAGACATCCAGCACCAGTGGTCTAGTGGTAGAATAGTACCCTGCCACGGTACAGACCCGGGTTCGATTCCCGGCTGGTGCAATCCTGTAGAGCTGTGATGATGAACTACATGTGATGGTTGGGTCCATCACCCCCTCATCTCTGGATGACAGCAAGCATGTCTGAGCTCTATGTATTTTTTTTTTTTTTAATTTATAAAAGAGTTTTTATGAATAAATTACATATTTGTTGTAAATAAAATTTATTTATTTTACATGAGCTCTATATATTTGTTTCTTTATAAAACGAAAGTTTTATTATACCCCCTCATCTCTGGATGACCCCCTCATCTCTGGATGACAGCAAGCATGTCTGAGCTCTATATATATATATTTTTTTAAATTTTATATAAAAGAGTTTTTATTTACCCACTGTTAGCCTGTTGGGTGCTAATGAATATATTACTTATTTGTTGTAAATAAAATTTATTTATTTTTATGTATTTTACATGAGCTCTATATATTTGTTTCTTTATAAAACGAAATTTTTATTATACCCACTGTTAACCAGTTGGTTACTAATGATTATATTATCTTTTTGTAGGAAAAAATGTATTGTTTATGTAATTTACATGTGCAGCTATATCCTATGTATTGTCTTTCATTATAAACAATATATATTTTTTTCTGCATTTTAAATGCGGAGTTATAAGCTGTTAGATCCTAAAAGTATTATATGACTGCAACTCTGTTCATGCCTCAACTGGGGTTCACTTGGTTAAGGAATATGGTCTATGATTTAGTAAAGTAAAAATTTATATAACATGTTTCATTGCATTATGCCGTTATTATATAAATGAATACATGAAAAAAAAGGTGGCAATATGATTTGTGATCCTTAATCAAAGATCACCAGTAGAGCTTTTTTTTCTTTGGCTACTTAAACTAATTATTTGACTAAATCATCATGCTGTCACTTTTGCAGGATTTGCTTGATTTGTGCCCAGAAAAAGTTGCTAACTATGAGGAGAAGCTGAAGAACTTTTACACGGAGCACATACATGCTGATGAGGAGATACGCTACTGCTTAGAAGGAAGTGGATATTTCGATGTTAGAGACAAAGATGACCAGTGGATTCGAATCTGGATTAAAGCTGGTGATCTTATAATTTTGCCGGCTGGAATATACCATCGGTTTACTCTTGACACCAGCAATTATGTTAAGGTAACCATGATTTGCTTAGACAAATTGATTAATGAATGTCAGTTCGTTAGAGCCATTGTTGATTTATGTTTTGTGTGATGTGCAGTTGATGAGGTTGTTTGTGGGAGAACCAGTATGGACAGCATACAATCGGCCACAGGAAAATCATCCTGCAAGAAAGGAGTACATCAAGGGTTTGACGGGGAAACTTGGAGTGCCACTAGAAGCTCATTAGGATTTTAATGGCTGAATATTTCTGTCTTCTTATGCACCTTATTTATGTTATGTATATGCATTTGGGACATTGATGAACTTGGAACTTATAACATAGCATGTAATGGTAATAATTAGTCTATAATGATGATATATTGTCGTATCATCTGTATTACTTTGAAATCTTTAATGGTACAGGCATATTATGTGCTAATTATGAGATCCACAATAATATATCTGTTGATGGGGAAGTGCTGTTACTTTGTTGATTCGTCCTAATTACTTTTGTGTTACATTTTTTCTTTTTTTTTTAAAGATTCTGATTGCAATAAAGTAGGATTCTGGTAAGAATTAGGAATGGTGCTCATTCTGTTTCTTCATCATGTTTTGAAGACTTTGGCTGAACATAGTAATCATCTCTTTGTTAAAATGTGGATTTTACCTAGACAAGTTTGTTATACCCGGGAAAGCAAAGGGCTGACGTGGGAAGAGTCACGTTACGGGTGACCTGCTCCCGTCAGGCCAACATGCACACGTCAGATCTGCAAAGTAATGTGGAGCTCACACGCGTCCATTCCTCTGCAGCAAGTCGTGCGAAATCAGCTTGGAAAAAGGAAAATGGGACGTAAAGCCGGATTACATCCTGACAATCACACCAACCCATGGATTTAATGATGATTACACGCCTCAATTTGTTATAAAATGAAGAAGACCCCTCCATTAAGGGGATTCGGCCATTCTTTCCAGAAAATAACTCTCTCTCTTGTAAAAGAAAACACTTGTTTTTCATAACTTTTCGGTACGTCAGTCCGCTTTGCGACCTGACCCACACTAAAATCAATACAACTCATGGATGTAGGACTTCTACCTTAGCATCCAACCACTTTAAAAGTTTTTCCGTGCATTTATTTCATTTCATATATCCATTATCACGTGCAATAATTCGTCAAAGAACAAAACCCACGTGACAATTGGTTGGTGCCAAAACAAAGCATCACCAGTTTGGCGCTAGAAGGAGGGCCTGATTTAGCGTCTACCCTTCATCAGAAATCTTTGACCTACTGGTCTTACAGTTACAATGGCCCGCCAATCTGAGCCTGAGCAGGGGAACCAACATGTTGAAGTCCCCGCGACCTAAGGGACACCCCTTCCAGCGTACCTCCAGTATCGCAAAATGCTGTTGGGATATCCCGGCAGCTCCGCAACTGACCCTGCCATCCGAAGTTACCTGAGAGGATCGACATACTCTCCAGACGGTCACAGCGTTTGGACCGTCTGGACCAAGGCATGTCATCCGCGACAGCGGAGCGGTACAACCGCCAAAAACGCCCGCAGGTCGCGCGAAAGCGCGGCAAAGGGCGATAGCCCGTGCCGCGACACTGCAGCCGTAAACGCAAGGGTAAGCAAGTGGCAAAAAGTAAGCCTACGGGCTCCCAAGGGCCAGCGAACACAAAGGGCGCCCCGAGCAGGTGTCACAAAGCTGAGACTCGTTGAAAGTAGATCCCGAGCAGGGTGTCAGCAAAGCTGAGACCGGTGAAAAAGTAGATCCTCGAGCTGTCCCATGCCACGTCGCAGGCAAACCCAAGCGAAAATGCTGGACGCTTGATTCCTATCACCACCAGCAGAACGACCCCGATCGTTCCCATGCGGTGCCCCCCCCACCTCGCGGGGCGTTTCGTACCACCGCGAGGGTCGTGAAAATGCCCCGCACAATACATCGCCTTCACACACCTCTAGTCAGCGTGTGTCGAGCGCGGCTGGAATACCGCCGAGGCGAGGAGGCATCCGACCTCCGAACTCTCCTGAACCGCAACAGGAGGCCGGGCCCGCATGGTGAAACAACCCAGGTATGGCACCTTTACCGCAAATTGAGGAGCTCTAGCGAGCTCTAGATAGGCTAAGAGAGCAGCAAAACAGAGCAGGCGCAGGTCGCCTCTACATCCCCATTTCTCTTGAAGTGCTAGTGCTCCGCTTCCACCAGGGGTTCAGAATGCCAGACATGCGGCCGTTTGGAAACTATGATCCGCAGGATCATTTATATGATTTTCAACACCTGATGGAGCTCCACCAGGTTTCGGACCTTGCGAAGTGCCGCTGTTTGGCCGTGACGCTGACCTCTCACGCCAAACGATGGTTCAGGTCGCTCCCACGGGATCCATCATTTCGTGGCCTCAGATGAGCACGGCGTTCTGCGGCATTTCCAAGCCAACCGGAAATTTTCAATGCCTTTGAGCTACCTCAGCAATATAAGGCAAGAGAGAGACGAATCCTGCAGTCCTACATTGATCGCTTCCACAGGGAACTCAACAAAGTCGCTCACGCACCAGAGGAGTCCATCCGAACCCTTATAATAGCTGGAGTTCGCCCGCAAAACCGAACTGTGGAAAGAACTGCAGGCTGAGGATGATACTCTCTCACCAATTTCATAACCTGGCAGAAAAGTATCTTCGAAGAGCTCGCGTGGCGGCGCTCCGCCGTCGCGATCACGGCACTTCCAGTAGTGTGTCAGGTCGGGGAGACGACAGGCGACTGATCGCAAAGGAGATATTGACAGTCGCGAAAAGGGAAGAAACCCCGCCACGAGCAGAAAAAGTCCTATGCTCCTGTCCCCTGTCGCGACCGCACGGGATCCAATACACTCCTCCGTTGAATGCCCATATCCGCGATCCTCCCAAATCCGAGGAAGCAGCCTGCTCGCGAGCCTGAACCAATGAAACCCCCCGCTACGGCTAGAAACAACAAGAAGTACTGCCGTTACCATCGGGAAAATGGCATCTCACCGATGAGTGCCGAGCTCTAAAGCAGCTATCGAAGAGCTCATCAAGAAGGGGCACTTCAAAGAGTACATTGATGACTCCCCAAAGAAAAACCGAGGGGAGCGAAGAAAAAGCGCCGTGATCGCACGGGTACGACAGTGTTAATATAATCTTGGAGGTCCGCACCTCCGGGAAACACGCGAGGAGCGCAGAAAAGATATGCTCGCGAAGCTCGCCACGACCTGATTAGGTAATGAATACATCGCAACGACCTCCAAGCCCGAAAGAGGAACCGATCACCTTCTGCGAGAAAGAGGCAGCTCGCTTTGCACCATCCTCACGAGGATGCTCTGGTGATCACACCCCTGATAGGTGGTCATAATGTCTGCAGAATGCTTGTAGACAACGGAAGCGCCGGTGAACATCCTTTCAAATCCGCTTTCGACAGAATGAACCTGGTCGAGGCCGACTTGAAACCAGCCTCGATGCCTCTGTATGGTTTTACGGGGATCACCTGATCCCCATGGGATAATCCAGCTCCCGGTCACGCTCGGCGACTACGACGAATGACCAGGGTTACCGAATTCTTGGTCGTGGACTGTCCGTCGCCTTCAACGGCATTCTGGCCATTTATCATCTCAGATGAATTCCCCACTCCATCGGGGATAGGGGAGGTAAGCGGGTCGCAAAGCGCATCTCGCGAATGCATGTAAAATCAGTCCAAATGGCCGACAAGGAAAAGGCATTTCGCGTTGTGCACCCCGCCATGCTATGGCGATCAGCCGATCGAGCCACAGCCTGGTCCGGCGGAGTAACAAGATCCGCGAGTTCAAGAAATCCCCCCGAGCGGCCCGGTTGAGGATCGTCCGAAGTTTCGGTTGATCCAAAGAGCCGAGCCGAATGCTAAGATCGGAAGCTGTCTTAACCCTCACTCCTCGCCTCCGAGCTGGTGAGCTTCTTGAAGGAACATAGATGTGTTCGCCTGGTCGCATGCGGATATGGTCGGGATCAGCCCCGAGTTATAGCCATTCATTAAACGTCAACAGTGAAGCTAAGCCAGTTCGCCAAAAGAGAAGGCAATGGATCCGGAGCGGTACCCGCATTAAAATCAGAAGTGGAGAGCCTTCTCCGCAATGGATCTATTCGCGAGGCTCCTACCCGACCTGGCTGCTAACCCGGTCTTGGTCAAGAAGCCAAATGGCAAGTGGCGGACCTGCGTAGACTTCAGCGACCTGAATAAAGCTTGCCCGAAAGACAGCTTCCCCTCCCAAGGATCGACAAGCTCGTTGACGGCACCTCGGGCACGAGCTATTAAGCTTCATGGATGCATACTCGGGATACACCAAATCCCGTGTATAAGCCAGATGAGGAGCATACGACCTTCATTACGGATCGGGGCTATACTGCTACAAAGTCATGCCCTTGGCCTCAAGAACGCAGGTGCACCTCCAGAGGTTGGTCAACCGAATGTTCTCCGACCAGATTGGGAGGACAATGGGGTCTACGTAGACGACATGCTGGTCAAATCCAGGTCGCCGCAGATCTATTTCGTATCTCGCTGAGATGTTTGACATACTCCGACTCTACAGAATGAAGCTGAACCCCTCTCAAATGTTCGTTCGAGTATCGTCAGGAAAGTTTCCGGATATATGGTCAATCAGGGGGGCATAGAGGTAAACCCCGAAAAGTTCAAGCTCTGCTCGATATGGAAAGTCCGACCACAAGAAGCAGGTCATGAGTCTGAACGGGCGAATAGCGGCACTTAGTCGCTTCATATCGAGGCTAACGGACCGCTGTTTACCGTTCTTCATGTTCTGAAAGCAAATAAGAAATTCGAATGGACTTCCGAATGCGACAGCCATTCCAAGTATAAAAGAGCATCTTGGGAAGCCACCACTCCTCTCTAAGCCTCTTCACAAGAAATCCTGCTCATCTACCTGTCCGTGTCTCAGTTCGCGGTCAGTGCGGCTTTATACGAGAAGAAACAATTCAATGGCCAGTATATTATGCAAGTAAGCGTCTATCGGATGCCGAGATGCGGTACCGCGAAATGGAGCGGCTAGCTTTTGCCCTGCTGGTCGCGTCCAGAAAGCTGCGACCTTACTCCACGCCCATACAATCAATGTGATGACGAGTTACCCTCTCAGGCAGGTCCTCCAGAAACCGGAGGCCTCGGGTAATTGCTCAAATGGGCCATGGAGCTGAGCCGTTCGATTTAAGGTACACGCCCAGGTCGACTATCAAAGGGCAGGCTGTTGCAACTTCATTTCGGAATTTTCCTATCTCCCAAGCGAGCAACAGTCTAGCGAAGTCGGGCAAGAAACTATCCGAACCTACATGGAACCTCTACGTCGACGGGTCATCGAACAGGAAAAGAGCCGTGCGGGTCTTCTCCTGGTAAGCCCCGAGGGGATCCGAATTCAGGTATTCTCCGTTTCGGTTAAGCGACCAACAATGAGTCCGAATACGAGCTCTGCTCGCCGGGTTGCGACTCGCC